AGAATCAAGAAAAAAATCTTTGATAATTTATTCCCTTGAATAATAATATAGTATTTACGAAAGATTTAAAGGAGTTTTTTTTAACACATTAGTAAGATTTAAATTAACATAAATCGCCGCTAAATAATCATAGTTAAGAATTTTTTTAACAGACGGCCCTTAGTACATAGAAAGGCAGTTATGAGCAACAGTCACATAAACACTACAGAGGCTTTGAATTTAAGTAAGCAAAACAAAATTAAATTAAATAAAATAAAATAATAATAATAATAATAATAAGTAAAATTACATAAAAAAATTAAAAACTAATAATGAATTAAAAAATAAAAATATGACATAAAATTAAATTTAAACAAAAAAAAAAAATAAAAATAACGATATTAATGATGAGCAATATAAGTTTTTTTTTGCCATTGCCATTATCAAGTATTAGGCTTAATTTTATTTACATGACTTCATACATTTATAACATAGTCCAGTTTTAGAGGCAAAACTAAACCAGAATTTTCTATACTGAATGTTTTTGAAAACCTAATATACAGCAATAAACAGTTTTAAGCTACATATATGTATATAAAAGTACTTAAAAATAATTTAAAGTACTTTTAATTTTTTATTTGAAAAATCAAAAAAAAAAAATCACTGAGCTCCCAGTCAAAAATATTATTACGAACAGCCTTTTAAAATGAAGCACGTGCGTCACAGGCAGCGCTGCAAGCAGTAGAATTAACATGTTGCATGTGATGAGCTTTACAAAGTGCATATACATACATACGCGCACAAAATTTGCATGTACAAGTATGTGCAGATATATAATTCAATACGCTTTTTCTTCGTATATAAATGTGGAAAACTTAATATAACTGTATATAGTATATTTATAACTGCGGCAGGTAAAATAAACAATAAAAGTCAACAACGACCAATAAATAAAGGGCCCGTCGCGCTAGTTTAGCTAATCCTCAAAAATTACAGAGAGCAGCGAAAAGAGAAAGTGAATGAGAGAGAGAGAGAGAATGCGAAAGAGAAAGAGAGAGTGCGCGCTTATTTCACAGCTCTACTTAATTGCTATATACATAACAAGTGTATTTGCTTCCAGGTTGAAAAAAAAAACTGTATTTTAATGTCGACATTGACTCTGACAAACCACAAAGGCTGCACCAAGAAGTTGCTAAGATATATTTAGAGAGCGAAAACCTTGCTCGGCTCTGGTAACACGTTTTATGGATAAATATATACATCTATATATATATAAATGTACGTATGTATATACATAAGTATGTGGCTAGCTTTACAACCCCAACTCAAACTTAATTACCGAAAAAAGAGCTTTCTACCAACAACATCAAAACGGGAGCGAGAATTACCGAAAGCTTATACACTGCTATAGCCTGGGTTGCCTTATGATAGCCACAGCTATACAATTACAACAATAAAGTACTTTACACCCTCACCCAACAAGCTTCGTAGTGTGCCTCCAACGGTACATCGTTGAGTATGCAGAGAAGAGAAAAACTTATACTGGCCGAAAAGCTTTCTCTCCAATTAACCTATGCAAATTTCGTGTGAAAGTGAAATTTTCTACATGATGAGCGTAAGCGCGCATTTGCAATCGAACTGTCCGACGGTGCGGCAGACAAAAACGCAGAAAATTTTTGAGAAAATTTGCGCAAAGCAACCGTTTTGTTAGAACAAAAGAAAAAAATGTAAAAACTATTAATTTTTCTTACTATTGCAACCATTTTTTCCCCACCAAAAGCTTTTTGATCATTTTTGTAGCGTCGGCGGATAGTTTGCAAATAAAAATAAAATTAAACAAAACAAAAAAAAAAAAATATTAATAAAACAATAAAAATACAGAAAAATAATCGACGTGCGGGTTAAAGAGAAATTGGTTGCAAGAAATTGTGAAAAATATGTGATACGAAAAATAAGGTGATTTTCTATATATAGCAAGTGCGAAGTTATTACTTATTTTTTTTTTTTTTTTTTCATCAATATTGCTGGGAAGAAAATCGAGTACTTGCTGCCCATACTCAGCACAACGGAAGAAATTCTTTAACAAATATTTAGTAAAAAATATGTTTTATTTGAGTGAATAATTTTCACTTAGTGAACTTCGTAAATTAATTGAAATATATTAGTTTGTGTTAAAACAACAGTAAACGCGTTAACATATGTCAGGCTCGACAATTGCTGCTGGCTTTTTGCGTTGACGCCAGAGAATCGTTACTGTGCGTTAGCGTTAAGAGAGAGCCCGAGCGCAATACGAGAAAGCACAATATTTGCAGAGAGTAGGTGAAGTAGGTGAAGGAGCAAATAGATAAATATAAGAAAACAAGTTGTATGTGGATATTTGTTGATGCCAAAGTCAATGCTAAATATATATAACCGTACACACACACACACACACACACGCATACATATATGTATATGTAACGATTAAGCAGAAAGCCAATAGCAATCGAATGCCAAAGGAAGTCACCAACTCGACACTAAAGCAACAGACATTCCACCAACACAAACAAGCTACGCTGATAGACAACACAAAAAATGTAGAGCAATGTAAAATTTAAAGCAACAAATATGTATAAAATTATTTGTAGTAAATTTTCACTTTCACACAACTTCAACATCAAACGATATCAAGCGATATAGAGGCGATAGGCAACAAAAGCCTATGCTGACGCGACAAAAGTTCCTAAACATAAACATAAAAACAAATATATTTACATACATTTTTTACAAATATACGAGTAATTGCACCCGCATAAATATACAAACAAACTAAGCGCGCGTTTAAAAACGTAATAACGCGCACGCGATGCGATGTTGCGCCACATGTTGGCGTTGTAGAGACTGTTACATGTGACATACAATATATAACAACAACAACAACAACAACTAAATACAAATACAACAAATATGCATGTGAGAGCTAGATTAGAGATATGCATAATTTAAAGCAAAATACAAACAGATGCCAGCTGTGATTGTGATTGTGGAAGTAAATATAAAAAAACATTTGTATCGCCTAAATACATATGTACATATACAAATATTCAAACTCAATTATTAATAAAAACAAATGTAATTAAATGACAACATTGCTTGTGACTATACGAACATTTATTTATAAGTAAATAAGAAAAAATATAACACAAATGGAAATAAACGGGAAAATATAAGTAAATTGAAAATTGAATTTGCACATGCTTGTAAATGAGGAGGTGAGAAAATAAATAAGTGAAATATGTTAGGAAAACTATTTCACAGGTTAGTAACAACAAAAGCTATTCAAAAAAAAACCAAGCAATTAATTTAAATAACACGAATTCAAAGAAATAACAAAATAAAAAATAATAAATAATAAAAAATAATAAATAATAAAATATAATAAATAATAAAAAATAATAAATAATAAAAAAAAACAATAAATAATAAATAAAAATCAATAAAAAATTTAATAAGAAAATACAAGAAAAAATTAAATTAAATTAAGTGAGCTAAATAAATTCAAATGAAATAAAATAAATTACCATAAAATACAAACTAAATAAATCAATAAAAAACCAAAAAAAAAAAAAATAATAAATAAAATCAAATAAAATAAAATGAATTAAGATAAAAAAGGATAAAAACCAAATGGAATAAAATGAAAAAAATACAATACAAATTAAAATAAAATAAATTGGAATAAAGTAAAAAACTAAATAAATTATATAAAATGACACAATATATATTAAAATAATATTAATTAAGATAAAAGATTAGATAAAAACAAGTAAAATAAAAATTAAAAAAAAAATGCTTAAAAAATATAAATTAAAATAAAATAAAGCAAAATAAAATAAATTGGAATAAAAAATAAAAATAAAATATAGTAAAACGAAACAAAATAAATTTGAAATAAAACGAAGCAAAATAAATTAAAATAATATCAAATGAAATAATAAAATAAAATCAAATAAAGTTAAATGAAATAAAAAAAATAGAATTAAAATAAGCAAAAAAAAAATTAGAATTAAGCTAAGAAGATTAATAAAATTTAACTACAATAAAACAAAATACAATACAAACAAAACGAGATGATTTATATCAAATGAAAATAAATAAAGTAAAACAAAACAAAATACAGTGAAATAAAATGAAACACAATAAATTAAATGAATTAAAATAAAACAAAATATAATAAAATTAAATAAAAATAATAAAAATTCAAATCGAATAGAGCAAAAAAAAATGAAATACAGCAATAAAAAGTAAAGTAATACAAAACAAACCGTAGTGTAAAATTAAAAAAGCAAATAAAATTAAATAAAGTAAAATAGGTACTAGAAATATCAAAATAAAATAAAATAACACACTAAAATTTATTTAAATTATATATATACCATACATAATTGGCGCTTTGCTACCGCTAATGCGATTTTCGGACGAGCGCCCCCTCCAATTTGTGGTTTTGCGGTTTGATATTTTTCCAATAAATGGAGGGATAAAAATTCTATTCTAAGCTCCCTCCAGACGGCTGATGGGTTCTTATGAGGATTTTTGATATTTCATATCGGAACATTCCCTGCTGTAGGGGAACCACAATAAGAAAAAAATATTTTTCTATAATTTTGTATGTTTGGTCGGACCAGGACTCGTCCGGTTGAGAAAAGTAGAGGAACAGAACTTTAAAAAAATGTCGACTAAAAATGAAACCAATAAAAATGAATATATTGAATGAGTAAATAAATTAGTAACAAAATGATTAAATTGAAATTGATTATTATAACACCAAAATTATTGCAAGTTATTCATTTTTCACTAAACAGTTGCAGTGCTTGAAGATCAGTGTTAATTATGAAAAGCGAAAGTAAGTGTAAGAAATCAATAAAGAAAAGCCCTCCAATATTTGAACTCATACATGCATTATATTTATTAAACTTTATAAGTGCAAAACAAAAATAAAGCGTAATTTAATAAAAAAAAAAATAAGTAAATATATATGATAAGCAGTAGAGAAGAAAAAACATATATTATATAACTTCATGAAAAAAGAAAAAATCAAAATAATGCCAATAAATTCATGCGTCGAATTAAGTTCCAACTAAGAAGAAAACTTAAAAAAAGACTATTAGCCGACAAATTACTATTAAATGATATATGAAAATCAGTAAAAATAATAACAAAACAACAAAAGACAAAAAAGAAATATAATTACGACAACAACAAATGGAATACATATGCATATGCAAATGCAAATAAACACACAAATCCCAAAAATGTGTTTATAAACAAATATTAATGGTTTTTAGCTGTGATATAACGTCTAGCGATAATTTGAAACGGTAGGCAAAACGTAAATGGTAAAATACAAAAATATAAAATATACATATAAAACAATGCATTTATTTATTTTATTTTGTTATTCACATTATTTGCTCATCATTACCCCTACAAACGCATTCATAATGACTGCACACAATGCATTCTACTATAATCGTACTATTCAATCACTAATTGTGGCGAATAACAATGTTATGGAGAAAAAATATAACAGTTTAAGGTGTTTGGTGAAAAAGCGTTAAGTAAAAAAATACCACTTTTTATTTATTTTGAATATGGTCAATTCCATTTGAATTCTTTTCCAGCGAATCAAAAAATATGCTCGTAAAACATCTATAACTTCTCGACATTTTTCAGAGCTCCAATTATATGTCCCATATACATACTTCCTATATAGTATATATGTATGCGCTTAAGTTTGTAAGTACTTTGGCCAAAGGTTCGTGATGTGCAAACGAATGAGATAAATGGAAATGTGTTTGAAATTTGTAAAATTGCGCTGTATGTATGTACGAATATTTGCCAATGGCAAAGAAAAATTCGAAAATACAACTGAGCTTGTTTCTATTACGTTTACTTTCCTTTTTTTTACTTCGTTTTATTGCAAATTGCCCTTGATTGATTTTTGTTTTTTTTGTGTGTGTGTGTGTTTTTACGGTAAGTTTAGAACTTTGCAGCAAGGCGCTATGTATGGGTGTGGGTGTAAGTGTGACGGTGCATCAGGTGGCGTATGAGTCATTTAATTTAAGTAATTGTTTGCTGATGTTTTCACATTTTAGAGACTTTATTTAGTTGCCTAATATACCGACGGCACAGCGATAAACATTTAAGAGAGTTTTGAGTTTTTTGAGCGTATAAATACGGGTTTAAATTTTTTTGTTTTACTTAATTTAATGCCATTCTATTTACTATTTTTATGCTATATTATATTGTTTATTTAACTCTTTTTTGTTTTATTTAATTTATTTCCGTTTTAAAAAAATTTAAATTTAATTTAATTTAACTTAGTTTCTATTTTTATTTTTATTAATTTTATTTTATTTTATTTTTATTAATTTTATTTTATTTTAGTTTTAATAATTTTATTTTGTTTTAGTTTTATTAATTTTATTTTATTTTATTTTCTTTCATTTAGTATAATTTTATTTCAACTTTACTGTTTTATTTTACATTGACATTTAATTTTTTTTACTTTTTTGTAATTATGATATATTGCTAAAGCATTCTGCTCTATTTAATTTAATTTTATTTTACTTCCGTTCATTTTATTTAATTTTATTTTGTTAAATATTATTTTCGTGGGTTTAATTCAATGCTATTTTATTTAATTAAATTTTAAATTTAATATTAATTTCACTTACATATTTTATTTCTAAATTTATAACTTATTTTATTTATTTACTTTTCTTTCACTTTTTTATTTTTGATTTCCTATTTTTCAAACAGTTTATTTTATTTTGCATATAACTTTTTTAGATTGTTTTTAAATTTCTTTTATGTTAAATATTTTTTTTTTTTTTTTGAATTTTAAGCTTTCATTATTTTTTTATTTTTATTTTTTTTTTTTTAATTTTTTGCATTCTTCTATTTTCATTTGTTTAAAATTTTTTTGTTTTCATTTTTTTATTTCATTTTTTCTCCTTTTTTATTTTTTCTCTTTTATCCTGTATTTAATGTTTTTTTTTTTTTGTATTTAATGTCTCTATTTATTTATTTCTCTTTTCTAAATTTCGTGCTCGCTTCTTATATATTTAAATTTTTTTTTAAGTTTGTTGTTTTCATTAATACAACTCAATATAATTTTAACTCTTTTTAATTATTTCGTTTTTTACATTATTTTAATTAATTTTATTTTATATATTTTTATAATGTTTCAATTTATTTCAGTTCATTTCATTTTCCGAATTTATTTTCTAACTATTGTATTTAACTTTCTTTATTTAATTTGAAATATTTTTTTATTGGATGTATTTCATTTTATTTTACATTTTTTAATTATATTTTTTTCCTTTAATAATATTTTAACTTAATTCAATTTATTTAACTTTCATTTCTTAATTTTCTATTACTTTTTATTTAATTTTATTCATTTCATTTTATTTTCTTTAACTTCTTTTGCTATATCTTAATTTCATTTTTTTAAAAAACTTCTTATTTTAATTTTTAATTTTTTTTTTCATTCAATTCTTCTTTTAATAATTCATTTATTTATTTATATATTTTAATTTATTTTATTATTATTCATTTATTTAATTATTATTTTTTATTTCAGTTATTTTTTATACTTTTTCATTTCGTTGTATTATTTTTCTCATTCCCATTTATTTTATTTTATTATTTTAATTATTCAATTTTTATTATATTCGTAAAGGTCTTATTTGGCCATGCATACTTATTACTCTCCAGCTTTAATCTGAAGTAGAAATTTCTTACGTCAAGGTCAATGATGCGTCCCTATTTTCATATTATATACAATTTTTACATATAATATATATTCATTTATGTACCCATTCATTAGTGCATGTAATTCGCGGCATGAAATGTGCTTAGAAACCATGGAAATAGACTGGGGAGAAATCTGTCTTGTTGACTGCAACTCAAACAAGAAAGTGAAAATGAATAGAGAAATTAAAGGTAAAACAAATAAGAAAAAAGGGGGAAACAAGTAACTACCAACTGCTTTATTTCCATATTAATCCCAACGACACGGCTTACGTGTCTCAGTGTCAGCGTGTCATCAATGTAAGGAGGGTTAAGGAAAATAAGGGGACATAAAAAATGCAATAAAAACTCAGATTGCGCATAATCAAATACAAATCAAACCCTGCCAGATAAATAAGTTTTACTTATAGGTAAAGATCAAAGAGGTAGATAACAACAAATGCCGTGATTAAAGCGCAGAAATATATACATGCACATCTACAAGAAAAAAAGCTTGAAGAAAAAATCTTAAAAAGCTACAGTAGATGATAGAAGAAGGAACATTTCTAAACATTTGCGTGTACAAAGTCTATCTACAAATTTATTTCTGTATGTGCCCGCTACTTACACTTAACCCTTTTTTGTTTGAAATTTATTGAAATTGCAGCGCGTACGTTATGTGCAAACAGTTAATGATTCAATTAAAATGCCTCAGGTGAGTTGAATTCAGCGTTGTAGGTTCGCAAATAAATTTAAATGCAATAAAGCGAGAGGCAGCAATAAATTATTAATTAACTTGAGTAGACAAATTAATGGATTTTGAATTTTATAACAGTACTGCTGTACATTATGGGCTTATATTGGTAGCCAAAAGGGACTTTGAGTAGTGAATTTACTGCCATTACGTGAAGGGCAAATGGTGATAGGAGAGAGCAGTAAAAATTCAAAACCAATTTTATGTTTGAAAATGAACGAGCACAATTTTGAATTTGTATGAAATTAGTTCTGCTGATTTTTTTTTATAACAGTCAAAAAGCTTATATAAGCTGACAACGATTTGGGGATTAATTTCATTGAAAAAAAAATCAAGATTTCTACACTTTTTCTCAAAGTTGTTCAAGGCTTAAGTGGAAATATCATTATCATAATTTTTTCAGCACTTGATGAACTCAGCTTAATATAATGTAGTAAATACTTAGGATTAGGTCTATTTATGGACTTATGTTAGCATCATTTTTCTAAAATATTCGATTTTTTTTTGAAATTATGATCACCTTATCTTACTAAAATAAATGGTATCGAATGTCATATTTTCTTGGAGCTAACTCTATTCGAATTGAATTTAATAATTAAAAAAAATTAATTTCTCTTCAGTTATTAAATAATTATCTAAATAATAACTAAACGACTAAATAACAAAAAATAACAATATTTAATATATGATTACTTGAACAACTGTCAATTCAAGCGCCAGAAAATAGGCTAAAAAAATCTAAAAATGAAATAACTGTAGTATAAGCAGAGGACAGTACTTCAAAGAATACAACGTACATATGTATTCCACATGTTCATACATACTCGTACATGCTTACATACAAATATGCAAGTACTTTTTGTAGTTCCCTTGTGAGGCAAAATTTCTATATGCCTGCTATTACAATATTAACAACAACAAGCATTGGAGTGCAAAAAGGATGCCACAAAGTGGCAGCTGCTTAATGAACTTTGGACAGTTGTAGACATTTTCGGGACAAATTAATGGCAAGCTTAACAAAGGTGCGGTCGGTCTAATTGCTCGAGCGACGGTTGGCAATTTTTTCCTTTTTTTTCCGCTTAAGCAAATAAATAACTAATATTTCTAAATAGAATCGTTGACAGGTTTTAGCTAAGCTTCTAAAGTAGACATCCATATATATAAAAGTAAAATACGATACATGTAGATGGTAAATACATACCTACATATGTATATACATGCCATTTTTTGAACTTCGTGTTAATATATATAAAATATTTAAATTTTTCCACGGCGTGGGTACTTAGTAATTTTTTCTTGCAACATTATTTAAATGGAAAAATTGCGTATACGCCCTGTCGCATGCACATCTTTTTCGTTTTTTTAACTGGTGTTTGTAAAACTTTTGCCTACGCGTGCTGGCTAATTTTCTCATATATTATTTGATTTAAAATTTTTACACATGCAACTATTTTTATCCAAGTAAATACGCAATCCACATCCGATTCAAGGATTTTAACATGAATTACCAAAGGCAGTTTTAAAATCAAATCAATCATTAATTCAATTCACTTTCAATTAGATGCAACTTACATTCACAAATGTGCAATTTTCATGAAAATTCTTTTGATTCAATAGTAGTAGTAATAAAAATAATATTAATTATTATAATAATAAGAATAATAACAATAATAATAATAATAATAATAATAATAATAATAATAATAATAATAAAAAAAAAAAAAATAATAATAATAATAATAATAACAACAATAATAATAATAATAATAATAATAATAATAATAATAATAGTAATGGTAATAGTAATAATAATAATAATAATAATAA